TCAGGAGGATGCAGCCCATGAATTTGGACATGTCCAGAGTATAATCGCAGCCTTTGCGGTTAGAAAATTGCACTTGATCATGTCGCGATATTATCGCAAATGCGATATATCGTTCAGCCCTACTAAACATAACTTGTGTTTTGACAAAAATGTTGTGATTGTACAGTTTTGTTAGCTCAGCAATAGGACTGGGTATCATCACTGATTTCTAGAATTGATTCGATTCTGATTCACAAGGTCCCGATTCGATTCGATCCACGATTTCAATTAGATTTGAATCGGGGAAATTTTTCCTCAGAAATATTATAATTCTGATCATAATGTGCAATAATAACAGTGTGCAATACACATACACTTATTCTTCTTTTTTTATACTAAGTTAATATACTGTGTTGTTTGTGTTGCGTTGTGATGTGTCATATCGTGTCGTGTTATATGTAGTGCCGACGTAGGACAGTTTTCCAATTTCATTGTACTACTGTACTATGTATGACTGTGCAATGACAATAAAGAGTTATCTTATCTTATCTTATTTATCAGTACTGACACTTTTGAGACGTCATCAGAGGTGTAAGCATCACAGCAGATGCCTTTGTGTCAAAGTAACTGAGGATAAAACACAGAAAAACATGAAGGCCTGGCTTTTTATATCAGTTAACCTTAAAAATATTCAGCAGTAGAACAAAAACGGAAGAAAACCTGCTCGTGAAGCAGCGCAAAGTCACAGAGGCATTTTGCAATTTGTCATAATTTTAAAAAGCATTTTTTAAAAGTGTGATTTTTTTTTTTTATCGTGGTGGAAGAAAAACAGCAAAAGTAAGAGGGAATTCATGACTATGTTTAAGTGAAGCGGAATGTAAAGCTTAGTTTTGATCTTCTTTTGTTGCTGATTCAGTCAGTTTCGGTTGGAGAGTGTTGAAACAGCAGCTTCAGAACCCAGCACAAAAAAGGACGTAAACACAGAGCGTCGACCAGACGCAGCAGAAGCTGTGAGGTGTTGGCTTTCAGGTGAGAAAGCTGACATCTCACTGATTTTGATGCGTCAGGTCTGCGCTTTGTGTTTACATGTTTGTGCGGAATCCGTTTACCTGCACTCATTTACTGTTTTAGCTGTTTGGAGGTTGTTGAAATAGTTTTGTGAGCTTTAACCTGAGATTCGGGCGTTTCTGGCAAAATACATTTATATTTAAAAAGCAATTCAGAATTTTTATGAATTGCTTTATTCAAGCCAAAATCAATTTTAATCGGAAAATTGATTATTGAAACTCACCCCTACTCAACGTGCGTCTATTACAGCAGAAGGCGCAGGAAGGTCACCGCCTTTTCTGTCTGGAGTTGGCATGTTCTCCCTGTTTTTGCTACAGAATGTCTGTCCATGAATTAATGTCCCGAAGGTCAGGCAGACTTGGCTTGTGTGAAACGGTGTTTCATCTTTTCCGCCTCTTTAATTCAAGTACTAAATGACACATCTGCAGATCTTTTGATAAAGAGCTTTTAATAAACAAATACATCAGGGCTCTAGACTAACTTTTTGCCATGGTTGCACTGGTGCACCTAACTTTTTTTCTTAGGTGCACCAGTGCAAAAGGTAGCAGCAGCACAGAGTCGGTGCTGCGGGGCTTCAGCAGCACATTCAGCTACTCTAAGCAGCACCTTTATGATATGGGCATAATGTTGTCTGCTGTTGGCCACAGAGCCTTTCAGAGGTTTTTTTTTTTTTTTTTTACTCGAACAGCTGGTCGCAGGGATTTTTTTAGTCACATTATTGAGAAATTAGCCTGCATTTGCAACCAAATTGATTGCACTCTAGAGCCCTGGATATGTAATATGTTATTTTCTTTAAAGACCTTTAGAATACCACATGAATACATTGTTGTGCTAAATTTATGGGATCGTAATGTTTCCGCACAGTAACTAATAATTAATACTCATAAATTACAAAGAAAAAAAAAGTATGTACTGTAAGATTTGGGTTTTGCAAACTACGAAAACAGTGATGCTGTGATCTGAGACCCATGCCCCTCTAAACCACCTAACACATCTGCTTCCTGTGCCCCATCCCTCTGTTGTTTCCTTTCACTCTAGGCTCAGCTGGTAGACTTGCGCTCAGAGTTGACCGAAGCTAAAGCTGCACGGGTGGTGGCAGAAAGGGAGGTCCATGACTTGCTCCTGCAGCTTCATGCTCTCCAACTGCAGCTTCATGTCAAGCAAGGCCAAGCTGAGGAGTCGGATAGCATCAAAGATAAACTGGTAGGGAGAACGGCTGTAATACAGTCAATCAGCCTTTGTAATCATTTAACAATAGTAACAGAGTTACTGATTGGCTGCAGTGAGTGAAGATGACATATTTATTATACAATCATTGAGTAATACACTGTCACTGACAACCTAGTCTTCTGTTTTCAGTCTAAGATGTTAGGTACGTGTATCAGACATGCTTGCTGACATAGCATTACAGTGTACAGCTTAGTGATGCGCCTGTAATTAAAAAAGTCAATGTCATTCTTGTACTCGGACCAAGACATGTATGTTCCTTTGAGGTAACATTACAATTTCAAGAGAAATTTCATTCATGTTTACTCCTTTCGTCTTTCTACTCCAGGTCTTCTTACTGTTTTTCTGTCTTTCTAATGTCTTAATCAACAATAACACTCCCCGGCAAGCAGAATAACAACACTGTAAGCATACTGTAGTAGTTTCAGTGCTGTGGACAGGTGCCAAGTTCTGCTGGAAAACAGAAATAAACATCTCCATTAGGGGTGTGTATTGGCAAGAATCTAGCGATACAATATGTATCACAATACAGGGGAGACCATACGATAGATTGCGATACTAAAAGCCAGACACTATTTGTGTTTATTAAGACTGAATTTAAGTGTAGGAAAATTCACAGTAAACAGTCCAAACTGTTAAATGCTTGGCATGAGCTATCTCAACTAAAATAGAGGGATACATTTCACTGGAGGAAACAAAACACTCTCTCTTTAAGTTCAAAATGAATGGAGAAAAATTAACATCTGCCTTATCAGAAGCCATGTCAAATAAACAAACAAAAACAGCTTTACTGATATATCGACTATTTCTTTAACATGAAAAAAGTAAACAATGAAATGTTAACGTACTTATTGAGTACTTTTAAAATACTAATCCAAAAAATGCTCTCTGCAGCATCAAAACGAAGCACTTTTTTATGTTACCTTAACACAAACAAATATAAATCAAAAATGAAATTGCATGAAGAATTCATCTGAGTAAACACTGACAATATAAAGTGCTATTAAAATGAAGTGCTAATAAAAGAAAGTACAGCTCTGCAGTGTCCATCAATAGAACACTTTTTGTGCAACCTGAAAAGGGGAATTTGTTCACCTGTGTGACTGACGGTTCCACTGATCAGTTTTGTGATGTGCTGTAACAGTGGCCTACCATTCAGTGGCTCTCGAAGTCCAAGGGTCGCATGTCAAAGAAACTGTCTGTGCTGAGCTGAGACAGTCCAGCACTGTCGCTTTGCCTTCTTGATACAACTTTGGCAGAGTATGTCCGTGAAGTGTTGTCGGGAGGGAACAGTGCAACAGGGCTCCAGTGTTTTAATCATATTACAAAATTATTTATTCTCCACAGCACTCAGAGGGAGCATGTCTTTGCAAATAAAAACAAGTACTGACTGCGCTATCTTTTTTTTGTTGCATGAGTTGAAGTTGCTGGTAGTTTCGAAAAGTTAACTTCTTTAATTGTCCGTTAAACACCTCATTTCATTTTAAAATTAGAATTTGACCCTCCGTCGCTATTGTGTCTAGACACATGTACTTGTAAATTTGTTGTGTTACCCGAGTATTTGACTCTGGCGGTGAAGATTTTACAGACTGCATAGCTCTTGTCATAGTCTTTACTGTGCTTTCAAAGCTGATGGAGTCTCTTAGATGACTTGAGCCTGCTAACAGTTGTCTTTGGGCTCTGAGACAACTAACGTCTGCTAAGTGACGCTAGACTATAACACCCCTCAACAAGAATCAGTTATCACAGAGGCTAACTTTAGCCAGCTGAGAGATATAATCTCTCCAGCCTGTCCTGGGTCTGCCCCAGGGCCTCCTCCTGCTGGGACATGCCAAGACTAGAATTATTAACCTCCCTGTGAAAATTTGGCATTTTAAAAACTATTTCCCAAGTGACACTAAAGAGAGCAAAAATGGTGTCATGGTGCAAAACTAATTGTACAGAAATAGAATATGCTCTAGATCTAAAGGGTGCAATGTAGACAAAACATGTGTGTAATAAAACCTGAGTAAGTAAATTTGTTACTGCAGCATGTTAACTGAGCAGTAAGCGGATTGAAGGGGTGTTGTTAAGTAATCCAACATAGCAGGGGAAAGAAACTGTCCTTGTGGCGTGAGGTGTTGGTTGTGATTGACCACAGCATCCTGCAGCAATCTTCTTTGCCTGATTCAGTGTCCTGGAGGGTGTACAGGATTGCAGCCAGTCACCTCTTCAGTGCAGCGGATGATATGCTGCAGTCTGCCTTTGTGCTTGGTAGTGGCAGTAGCGTACCAGATGGTGATGGAGGAAGTGAGGATAGATTAAATGATGGAGGAGTAAAACTGCATCATCATTGACTTTGGCAGCTTGTATTTTTTTCCACCGATGCAGGAAGTACATCCTCTGCTGTGCCTTCTTTGTTAGTGAGCTGATGTTTAGCTCAAACTTTAGGTCCTGGGAGGTGATGGTTCCAAGGAAATTGTCATCTCCCTCCTATAGGCAGATTCATCTCCACCCGAGATGAGCCCGTTGAGTTTGTCATTTGCAAACTTAAGGAGTTTGACAGATTGGCAATAAGAGGTTCAAATGTTGGTGTACAGGGAGAAGAGCCGAGGAAAAAGTACAGAGCCCTGAGGAGAACAGGTGCTGATGCGTTGAAAGTGAGACATGCCTGCCTAGACAGCAATTCGGTGATCCTTCTGCAGGTGTAAGCGGGAACATTTGGCTGTGAGAGTTGTCTTGTAGTAGAGCTGGGAGGACGGCATTAAAAGTGGAACTCAAGTCCACAAACTAGCCTGATATAGGTTCCTGCAGAGTCCAGATGCTGGAGGATGAAGTGCAGTGCCATGTTAACTGCATTGACTACGGACCTATTGACTCTTTAGGCAAACTGCAGGGATCCAGGAGATGGGATAGTACCAGGTGCTCAAATGTCTAAATGACTACAGAGGGCAGAGCAGTCGGACTGTTTCTAATAACACTTTTCCACTTTAACTGAGCACTCAAAGTGCTCTATACGACTTGCCTCATTTGACCGTTCATATAAACACTTTGTTCTATGTTTTTTTTCTAAGTAAGTCCTTTTTATGGATGCACCGGCAAGCAACTTGGGGTTAGTATCTTGCCCAAGGGTATTTGGCGTGCAGGCTGGAGCAGCCATGTTGCTTAGTCTTAAAAGTAATATGCACCATGTTTGGAGGTCAAAAGGCACTGCCGCAAAAACACCATAGCCAGAGTGAAGTTTGGAGGTGGAAACATCATGATGTAGGGCTGTTTATCAGCATAAAACACTGGCACGCTTCATATAATTGAAGGAAGGATGAGTGGAAAAATGTAGACATTCCTGATTGAAAAAATCTGCTGCCATCTAAGGGTGGAGGCAAGTCAATGATCCAAAACACACCCCAAAGGAAACTGTCAAGTGGTTTCAGTGAAAGAAAATAAATCTGTTAGAATGGTCCGGTCCAATCAGCTGACCTGAATCCAACTGAAAATCTATAAGGAAAAAAAACCTAAAGCTCAGAGTTAATGGAAGTGGCCCACGGAGCCAAAATCACAGAAATGCAATTTCTCCATACGGGAGGTGTCTTGAAGCTGTCACCAACAAAGCTTTTTGGACCAAGTATTAAATGCATTTCAGTAAGTGTGTTCAATACTATTTCCCTCTGTCATTTCTCATTATTACACATAATGTCATTTATGGTTTGATTTCTTTGCATATGATGACTGGATGGGTTTTTACCAACATCTGGTGAGAGTTTCATGTCAGTGGGACCATCAAAAATATCTTAACTTATAAAATTGTTCAATACTTATTTTAGCCCCTTTATGTTAAAAATTTTTTCACAAAGTATAAATGGTTTAGGACTGTAGTTGGAGAAATGCAGGGCTGAAGGGGTCACAGATCGGATGTTGACCTGGTTCAGAGCAAGGTTATTATAGTCAATTAAAAACTAAAACTAGATGTAAAAGAAACATTATATTTAACTTAAATAAAAACTGCACATGCCCCACATACAGTAATTAAACAGATTAAAACTAACCTGTGAGAAATGCATATCCTTAATCCAATCCAATCCAACTTTATTTATATAGCACTTTTAAAAACAACAAGTTGACCAAAGTGCTTTCCAATAATAAAACAGAGATAGCAGTTAAA